AGCCATTTTGGAAGCTGTTCCTTTTCGGTGCTCGCTCGGGATGGTTTGTCGGCGGGCTATGCAAAGAGAAAAGAAGGGGGCGTGAGGTTTGAGGTATGAACACGACGGTTGAAGAACAAGAATCCGTCGGATGGGTGAGAAGGGGTTGATATTAATACCCCAAGAAGATCTGGGGAGGGAAAACGGGAAGTGATCGGAGGGAACACCAGCTTACATGAGTAACCCAGATCACAAATGCAAACTACACACCACGCGCACACGACTAGAATCCCTCCCTCCCCGCCCTCTGCGAGATGACAGCCAGCGGTCAATGCGACCCCGTGGGAAAAGGGTCGTAGGGGGACATCGGGGGGATGGTCCGCCGACCGACCAATCGCTCAACTTCCGTTCCACCATCGTGAAAAATTGCGAGGGGAGGAACGGGTGGAATGGTGTCCTGGTTACGAAACTAGACAAGGATGTCTTGGTGAGTTGAATGGGGAAGGGTATGGGGATGAACATGGAGATGCGTGGGGAGAGAGGAGAGACGATGCCTTTGGTGCGTAAAGTGGGCGGCAGCTTGCCCATATCCGGCTGTAGCAACCGCGCGCCGGCGGCTTTGGTTTGGGGTAGTTGGGGAAAAGACAAGGAAGAGGAGGAGGAGGAGGAGGAGTACGTAGGACGGACTACTCGAGTCGGGGGTTGGTAGGCAGACCATTGCCTGCCAGCCTGGCCGGGATGTTCTCCGCTGTCCGTATTGTCGGACGCGCCCGTTGTGTAAGCTGTCTCTCTGTCTCTCTCTCGCTCTCGTTGTTTTTCTCGGCGCAGTTTTGCCGTATCTCGCAGCTGTATTATCCACAGTGATGCGCCATGCAGAGACAACGGTTTTGGGGGCCTCTCGGTTTACTAGATCTGGAAAACGGACTCTAGATCTGTTTGATACTGGGTATCAGAAATAACGTGGTATCCCAAAAGTTGGCCCCGAGAAATTCGACGGAAAAGGGGGGCCTTGAATTAACGGAAAAAGCTCTGATACAAAGTCTAAATTCTCAGAATTGACCACCTGCCGCGGAGAACTGGGATGACTTCCGCTCATCTTCAGATGACCGTTTGCGCCTCTGGGGTGGCCCATGAGGCCACGCGAGGTTAGAGGACGGGCATCACCCCGCGCATCAAGGCCGATAGACTCGTATTTCTCACAGTTAGTGTTCTCAAGCCAGCGGTTTGGGATCAAGAAGCTCCCGCAAGTTCCCGTAATGCAACACACCAAGAGACAATTCCACGGGCAGAGGATGCAGTAGTGTCTCTCAGCTCAACAAGAAATGAATCGCCCGAAGAAGCAAGGCCGCCTACGTCCCGGCTGGGGGAAGGGGGGAACAGCGGTCGCTGGGGAGGTGAGGTTGGGGTAAATCTGCCCAGAGAGGGTGTGATGCACGCGAGAAGGGCGAAGAAACCGCCTCAAGGCTTGTCTGCACCGGCAGGATGGTGTTCCGCGGCGCTGGATTGGACCAAGAGTTCGACAAAGGACGATCCCGCCCAGTGCCAAGTGACGTGATGTTCCTTGGGAGCGGTGCTTGCTTGCTTGCCAAGTGCGCAAGCCAAGTCGGGGCCAAAAACCACCATAAGGCACTTAGTAGACAACCCCCCTGTCCTTAGGTGGGAGAGCGGTGCACCGCTCCGCATTCTCCGCGCTTTGGAAGTTTGGAGACGACCATCCGTCTTGTTCTCCCCCGCAATGCCAAAGATTTCACAGGAATAATAGCTGCGCTCTGACTCGTCGAGAGGGTGCGTTTCCAGTTTTTGCTGCTGACCAAACATTGGGAGGGAAAAAAGAGTGGGAAAGACAGAGAGATGCAACGCCAGGCCGAAGCCCTCGCAAAAGCCCCATGTCGTCCCATGATCCATGTCCCCAACTTTTTACGTGGAACCGCTCTCAGTGCCTCCCAGAAATCCAGTCTAGGAAAGTCAGCCAGACTTGCTCCAAGACTTCCCCAAAGCAGCCAATCCCAAGGGCCGGTTCCCTCAGCAAGTTCGCAGGCGGCAGAGGCACCGCAGCTCGCCGCCGGCCGGGTGGGGCCCTGCTCGGGCTGCTTTGGGACTAAGTCGACGGGGTTTGTCCGCGCGTGCAACTGCCGCTCGGCCATCTTCCGTGAGAGCGAACTCGCAAGTTGCTCGTCAACCACCGACGGCTGCGGTTTTTACGCCCGCGGAGCATTCAAAATCGAGTCATACTGGCAGTAGCCCCTTGTACACTTGTATGCCTGCGCCGGTCATTGTTACATGAGAAATGCAGATGACCAGGCCAGGCCCATCGGGCCTCGACCGACAATTCGCCTCCCCATCTCTTTGCTGCTCCACGAACTCCAGTCTGCTAACTTCCCCTCAATCCTCCCAGGCAAGATGGATCTCGCGCGAATGAATCCCCGTAGTTTAAGCTTACATGCCGTCTCGGCCAACCAGGACATCGATGATTGCGCAGTGGCACGCCCGGTGATTCGTACGCAGGCAGAGAGATCCATCCGTCCATCCAAATGGCCAGGATATCCGGCCATCCGTCTCATTGCACCCTTTCTCTGCCCCAAAGTAACTCCCCAGGTCCCCTTTTCCTGCTCGTCTGCTCCCCAACCCCAAAGTCCCCACGGAGAAGCTTCCTTCAATGGGGACTTTACGGGGTAAAAAAAACTGGACTGGGGATATCTAAGCGCTCAACTCGCAGCGCGAGCTCGGTGTTTTCCCACCCACACTTTCACTTCACACACACCACACGCATGCGACGACACCTTGGAGTTGACGCGAAATTTCTGCCAAAGAAATAAACCCCCCACTCGTCACATGGCGAAAGGCGCAAAAGGAGCACGGATTGCCGCTGCTCCATACTTCCCATACCAGGCAAACCCAGCCACCCCGGGCCCAGGCGTGTAAATTACCACCGAGTCCGACCAACGTGCGGAGGTCTCTGAGTGCATGCAATTTGGAACCTCATACGATTTCCAAGACTTTTACCAGTCAGTTGGTCACGGGGTTTACTTGAAAATTGCAAAAGACCGCTCATCGCATGCTGTCAACGTTTTCTAACACACGCCGGCGTCGGAGCTACAACCCAGAGCGCGAACCCGAGTGATGATCTTCGGGTCGTGTAACCCCCCCTCCCCCTTTGAGAATCCTGTTTTGTGTGTATTACGTGGTCATCAATTCTTGCGTGTCCTGTCTACGTAGTCAAATTTGCCCGACATAATCAATTTACGAGTTTCCTCCCGATATGCGTACACTCACCTAGTTGCCCCCTGCCCAGCTCTCTGCTAGTTCTCACCTTCCAGGGCCTGGTCATCGTGAATCTCAATCTGGTGGGTGTCCTCGTGCTGCGCTCCATCGCAGGGCAACATCACAGCCTCGTCGTCCGATGGGAGAGGAATATCCTCCGCACGACAGTCTGTAAATTCAAACAGTTCATCCAGACCATATCCCTCAAACTCGGTCACATCAGACTCACCCGCAATGGCATGAAACTCACCATCCCCAGCAGCGCCAGGCGCATCCTCCCAGAACTCCATGACAATGTCGCCGTCATCCCGGCCCACAGAGGTCTCCTCCTCGTCCTCCAGGTAAAACAGCAACTGCTCAGCATCATACTTGCCCAGCCACTTGCCCTCGGTGCACCGCTCAGCGTGCTTCGGCCCAAAGAACTCGGCCCAGATCTCCGCGAACTCGGCGTCGAAGATCTTGAGCAGCAGCACCTCCTCCGGCTCCGCGACGAACAGCTCGTCGCACGCCTCGCACGGCGCCTCGGCGATGTGCGCCAGGTCGCTGTCGTCAAAGTGCGTGACGATGCGCCCGCACGAACCGAAGAAGCACATGCACCGTGCCGGCACCGCGGCGCCGCACACCTCGCGCCGCGACACGACCACGTGTTCGCGCCGGCAGCCCTTCTGGGGCACGCCGCAGGCGGCGGCGGTGCAGATTGCGGAGATGATGTACTGGATGCACATGGCAGCGAAGATCTCTGGGGTTTCTGGGGAAATTCGGAAAGTCTGTGCTGTGGTGGTAGTGTGAGTAATAGCGCGGGTTCGTTTATGCCGTCGTATTGTTAGCCGAGATATGTGATGCGACGTGTTGTTGCGTTCTGGTTTGGTGAGAGCAGGGGGACTTGCCATCGGACGTGGGCCGATTTAAATACTGGAGCGCAGGTTGGTTTGGACCATCGTGATAAAGACATTGTGTTGGTGGTGATGTCTTTCTGTGGTGTTGACGGGACGTGCATCGAACGCAGAACAAGGTTCTCGTTTGCAAAGAGCAGCATGGTGTCACAGTCAAATGGTTTAATGTCTTTGTTCTGAAATTGTTTGTCTTTGATTGTTTCTTAAACAGAATACTCCTGTGTTTACCACAAAATTCTTTTTGCATCATCAGCTTTCTTCTCTGAATATTCTTGTGGTCGGCACGACGTTCAGAGAAGCATGCCAAGGCAGCCTTGGCAGTGGTCGTCCAAGCCCTTCCAAGCCTCTTGGCGCCACATGGACGCGGCTCCAGCCAGAGCCTCAACTCCCCCAACCCTCAGAAAGCGCATAGCAGAGACACGTTGTTCTTATTTTTGACAACCCAGGGGAAAAGCATGTTGCGGGAGGATCAACGGGCGTCACACCCCCCTTCCCGCGGAACCTAATCGCGGTTCCAGCATCTTGGGTCACGGAGCGGTGCCGCATAGCCGTGAGCAGGTGTGCGCGAGTCGGAGAATAATAAGCGCCCCCAAGAAAAGAATGGTTTGCTCCCTTCCCCCAACGCCATGCCATGTTGGAACTGCCTGAAAAAGATATATCCCGTCGGTGTTAGGCGAGGCACCCCGAATCAGGAAACCTCACCCCCGTCCTCCTCCCCGGGGTTCCTTTACTCCGGGCCAATACCACTCGCAGCAGACCATCGAGAAGGGTAGTGACAGTCCTCCGTCTTGTATTACCCCGAACATGCCCTTGTTCATGATCAGTCACACACCGCACCGTTTCCCCCATACCCCGTGTAAGCTGCTCCTACGCTCCCCCAACTTTCCCCAACTCCCCCAAAAGCCCCCTCGCCCTCTCCGTCCTCTCGTCGTCGTACCCCGCAAAGTGCACCAGCTTCTCCACCGCCAACCGCGCATACCTCCTGCCCGTTTCGACCTCGCCCATGTCTACATAAGCCCGCGCGAGTATGTCGTAAAAGTCGCCCTTCTGCGCCGACAGCCCCTCTTCCTTCAAAATGCCGTCCAGTTCCTCCGCAAGCTCCGCCATGCGCGCCGGCGATGAGCGGAAGACTTTGTTGTTGAGCGCCGACACGATCTCCTGCATCCGTCCGCGGCGGGCGTCGGAGGCGGCCACGGCGGAGGCGGAGCTGCAGAGCGAACATGTGCAGTTGAATCCCCACTCCTGCAGGGTCCGCTGACGGTCTGCGTAGAGCATGTTGAGCGGTGAGTCTGGGTATTGGTGTTAGCTTGGGCGAGTGTCGCTGATGTAGACAGAAGATGGCGTCTCACAACTGATACTCAGCTCTTCTCCTGGCTGAATATCACGGTACGCTACTACCTCCAAGGCGAGCGTTCGTGGAGAGTACCGAGTCACCGCGCTGTACCATGTAAGCATACAATCTTCTAGTGCCGCGGGACCACCAACTTTGGCCGACAATCGTGGTTGATTCTCTGCTTTCTAGTCAGCTTTCCATTCATCCTTTGTCCAGAAACACAAGGTTCTCCCTACCGCGATGTTTGTGAATAACCCATAGTGGCTGACATTGTTGAATGAGGCCGCAAAGGTGTTTGTGTGAAGAACATCCTCGAGCACATGCCCGCCCGTACTCCTCGCGAGCTCAAAGACTCTGATCTGAACCTCCCTCGGCAGCCGCACAAAGCCCTCCTCGAGAACCCACAGCGCCTCTCTCGGGTCGATCTGCTCCCACACTTCCGTGGCCACGGACTGCAAGATGGTCGGATAGTCACGCATGATGACCTCTCCGGCGCGAATCGTCGAGTTGGCCACGACCCCCAGCTCTTTCCCGGGTATCTTCCGGACCTCGTAGGGCGGGATCCGCGGCGGCAGAGAAGAAGAACCCGGGCTGAGCCACCGTGGATCGAAGTCGTCGATCAAACCGAGATCTCCGGCTGCCGTCTCTGGGGATGTGAGGATGAGAACTGCGGAGTCGCCGTGGAAGTCATCCTTGACGAAGGCGCAATATCTGGAGTTGGTATTTGGGCTGGTGCACACCGGTCTATGTGTCCACGCCGATAGCTCCGAGCTTCCGAGGTTCTTTTCTGGATTATACGGCAGGAAACATGTCTCCTGATGGAGCGAAAGATGCAGTGGTCCCGCGGGGTTCCAATCACACTGGCGAGTTGTGTGGATAGAATGATTTGGCGATTGAGCTAATACACATGACACACAGATTCCTAGAACCAAGAGGAACGAAACAAACAACGTCATTGCGGGAAAGAAGAGAGAGGAACCCTGGAGAACAAAACCATTTTTCTATTTTGAGACTTCAAAGGAATACCTTGGGCACTCTCTTATGAAAGAGCCCTTCAACCGTCCCCAGCCGTCGATCACGCGATGGCATCAGTACTACAGGAAACTTCTCAAGTTGAACACCGTGTCTTGCAGCGCTCTGTCGGCATCAAACCCCTCAAAGGAGGCGTCCCAAACACACCGCGCAGATCAGACACGACCTAGTCAACTCTATCCTCCGGCCCCTGACGCAAGCCGAGCCGGCCCTTCTACAGGTGTGGTTACCGCCGTCACCCTACATCAAGATAAAGATAAGCATCGCATTTAGCCGCAATGCGCGGTCGATCGGCTCCGCGGCCGTCTAAAAGCGGGTTGGATCCCGTGGTGCAGGAGACGGAGGCTCGCAGGCCGCGATGCCAAGGCCCGCCAAGATGCTTGGTTTTTGGGGAAATCATGAAGTGAACAGGTGGCCAAGGGGGATTTCCCCAAATTGAGAGAGGGGGTGTTTGGGGGCTATGGGAATACGGCGAGAACTTCTTGGCCAAAGTCTTGGTTTTGGGGAAGGACGGGTTACGAGATCATGAGACGCGTTCACCATCATGTCGCAACTGCTGTATCGGCCACGCTTACGAGGAATTATAGAACGTGGTTTATGCTCGCTGGCTAACAAAAAGTTTAACACTATATAAAGTCGGAGGGAGAGCAAAAAAGATGTGATTTGAAGTCAATCGCTGACGGGACTTGAGCCCGACGTGGCTGGGATGTGTTAGTGATGATGTTGGTGGGTGGTTTGGGATGATGATGGCGCTTACGGGTCGAACCCACAACCTTGAGATTAAGAGTCTCACGCTCTACCGATTGAGCTAGCCGGGCAGGCTTATTTGCGGTTGTGAGAATCGCGAGGGCAAGATGGTCAAGAATTCGGTGCAAGTTGTGGGCGGGTCGAGGGCACGATGCAAGCGTATCCACCGTCAACACCAAGCCGGCCCCATCGTGAGAAGATGGGGCCCATCCGGCCCATCCGGCCCATCCGGCCCATCCGGCCCATCCGGCCCTTCCGGAGACTCCAGGAAACGCGGCCGGGGCTATGAGGCCCAAGAGCGGAGGATGAACAGTGGGTCGGTGACTGCCGGTTTGATGACCTGCCCGCTTCATACCTTAGGGGGTGTCAAGTCGGCGTGAAATGGGATTTGGTAGTCCAGCACGACGAGTAAGTGGCAATCGATATAAGCCGTCAATGATATATCATTGGTTCGACGACTTCAGCCGCGTGTCAGAGTCAAATTACAATGTTACACGTATAGGTACACAAACACGCCGGGTATTATCAAGGACATCAGCCTCTACTTCATCCAACCCGCTCGTCTATTCCTCCACCCTCTCCCGCACCAGCGCCCAACACTTCCGCATCCCCGTACCCATCGACTCGTCCTCAACCTCTTGCACAGCAGCCCATCTGCTCCGCGCATGCGAAGACACACAGTCTCCGGGCCCGTCCGCCTCAAACAGGTGGACATGCATGGTCAACTTGAGATGCGAGAACAGCCACGGCACGCTACCTAGCTCTCCCGCATGCCGCAGTTTCACCTTTTTACCGCCGGCAATTAGCCCCGACGCGTACGCCTGAGCATCCTTCTTCCGCGACGCTGCCGTGTGGCTGGTTGCAGCGGGGAGGGTATGGCTGGGGAACTCCCACAGTCCGGCGAGCAGGCCTTTCTCGGGGCGGCGGTGGATCAGGAGCTGCCCGTCGGCGCGCCGAATCGCGCAGACGAGGGCCTCCTCTTCGCGGACCGCCTTTTTGACGACCTTGAGCGGGAACTTCCTTGCATGCTCGGCGACGGTCTCGAGAGCCTTCGCGTCAACGGACGGGCGCTGCTTCGGGGATGCGTCGTCCTTGTCGGCGTTCTTGGAGACGAATTTGAATGCGGCGAGAGTGGCTTGCTTCGGCCCGGGCGCAGCAGCTTTTGCCCCTTTAACGCCCTTCGTCGGCTTCTTCGGGGGAGTATCAGAGTCCTCACCAGATAGAAAGCCTTCATCGCCGTCTTCCTCGAAAGGCTCGCATAGCGAGCACAAGTCCTCGATGTCCTCCACTTTGGGCTTCTTCGACTTGGCAGCGAGCAGGAGGCCCTCTGCGTAGGCTCGACACGTTGCCGTGATAGGACACTCGCCGCAGTTCGGTTTCGGCGTGCAAACAGTGCTCCCGAGCTCCATCAGCGCCTGTCCCCATCGTCCGGGCCGATCACTCGTCGGCGCCTCCTCTTCGTCCCTCCCGTCATCACCAACCGCATCCCTCGCCACGGCTTTGACCAGTGCATCCGCCGCAGCCCAGAGGAGATCAATAGTCGCTTTGTCCGTCTTCACGTTCCCAAAAACACCCAACTGCCGGCTCAACACCCGCAACACATTGCCATCAACCATCGGCGCCGCCCTCCCAAACACAATGGCCGAGATCGCGCCGGCCGTGTACCTCCCCACACCAGGAACCTTGGCCTCCAACTCCGCCGTGTCCGCCGGCATCAGGCCCCTCCACGCCGCGTCGCCGACGACCAGCTTCGCCGCCTCGTGGATCCGCGTCGCGCGCGAGTAGTACCCCAGCCCGCGCCACGCGCTCAGCACGTCCTCCGGCTCCGCGGCCGCGAGGTCCTGGATCGTCGGCCACCGCGCCATCCACCTGTTCCAGTAGTCGATCACCACCGCAACGCGCGTCTGCTGCAGCATGATCTCGCTGATCCAGACCTCGTAGGCGCGCTTCTCCAGCGCGGCGCGGAGCTCGGCAGCGTCCGCGACGGAGGCCGGATCGATCCACGCTTTGCGCCACGGCATACCGCGGGTTGTGCTGATGGAGTCGAACCATGAGAGCAGCGCGTCCCGGCCCCGCCTGCCTGGTTGGCCGTGGAGGAGCAGCGGGCGGTGATATGAGTCTGCGTGTGTTCGGGAGGGAGGCGTGCATGCTTCTTTGCAAACATCTCCTGGGGCCTCAAAGAGCTTGGAATAGAGCTTGGCCGTGTCAGATTTGCTCGCCTTCTTCGGCCTCTCGACTTTGCGCCGCTTGGGTAGTGGCTCAATGACCTCGTGGCCCTCGTCCTGCTCGGCGTCCTCCGGAGTGAAGTCCGCCTCAGACGCGTCCTTGCGCGCTGCTGCTGGTGACGCCCGCGGTTTGGAAGCGACCTGGCGCGCTCGTGGCTTCGGCGCAGCTTTCTTTGGTTCAAAATCGGGCTCGTCGTCTGCTTGGGCTAGGATCCTCTTGGCTGCCGCAAGCGAGCTTTGTCGCCTAATGACGAAACGCTCCATGATCTGTGTTCAAGAAAATGGCATTTTCAGTGTTGGAAAAATGTCACACCAAGACGCGTCGTAGCACTTTAGCTTTCGCTGTCGTTGAGACGCGCGCTGAGTGAGGATGTGGTAGGTGCTCATTTAGCGCCGATTCAAGCAATCGACCGCTGGAACTTAGATCGGCTCAGGGACTTCGGCCCCTTGTCTTGATGTGTCGCTCACTATATTTGTTCTTGTCATTGCGAAGGAGCGCGCGAATGAAGTAGTTAAACACAACGAAACAATGTGAATACAAGTAGCTGGTCGAAATTCTGCGAGCTGGTATTGCTCAGGATTAGCAAAAATAACGATCGGCTGGCGAACAGCGACGTAAAAAAGGTCCTACCAGGATTCGAACCTGGGCCTACGGAAGGATCTGATGATAGTCAGAATCCGACGTCCTAACCAACTAGACTATAGGACCGTGCTGGAGAGAGAAATTTGCAGCATCATGAAGCCATCACCATCCGACAATACCTCTGTTTCGCTTCAATTTTCACTATTGACCGCTTCTAACGTTTCTTATCTCGTTCGAATAGCTTGAGCTTTTCCTTAAATGGTTGATCTAAAGTCTATCGTTGTTGCTGTACCTTGCAAGTTCTAAAAATTACTCAGTCCAGCCATCTCCAGCGCAAGTCATCCAGTTGACTCCGACAAGCTTCAACCCGTGCTTCTCAGCAAACTCAGCCGGCTTCCATGACCGCCTCTGCACAAACTCCTCTCCGCCAACATCGTCCTTCTTCAGGTCAAGGCCCTCAGGCTCACGGTAGAGCAAGAACAGGTATCGGTGGGGCTTCGAACTGTACACAAAATAGAGTCAGCGGCCTTCATTCCAGCCAATGGGAAGGGTATCTGCTCGAAGGCAAAGACTGTGAACACTTACTCATCCTTCGGCCCGGGTCCAAGGAACTCCGTCAACGCCGGTTTCGTCTGCCCGACGACCGCTTCTCCGCTCAGCGGCTGCAGTCCGGGGAGGACCCAGTGGCGCCAGAAGGCGAACTGCGGGTTGTCCGGTGTTGGCGCGTCCGGGTCGGTCAAGAACAGCGTGTAGGAAGCGTTCGACGGAGCGCCCTCCTCAGCCTCGAAGGCGACGCTGGGCGCGAGCTTGCACTCCCCGGCGCGGAAGAAGTTGCCCGTCTCAACGGCCTTGCCAGCAAACGACACCCCGAGCTTGATCGTAGGCTTGAAGCCTTCCGGGATGAGCGCCGCCGCGGACCCGGGGACGAGCTTGGCTTGCTCCAGGGTGCTGGTAAGCTTTTGTGCGTGGTCGGCAAGAGTCATTTTGTTGTCGTGATGTTAGAATAACTGAATTGAGGTAGAGGAAGGGTTAGAAAGGCTGTAGGGTGGCTTTGGCAGCGTTCAAGAACTATTTCGATGATCGCTTGCGGGCGGATTTGACCCGAGGGCGTGATGCGTGATGACCTACGCGGGGTCAATCGTGTGAGGAGGGGGATTGATGCCAGTGGTGGAAAATTGCCAGGGCAGCTGCGCCAGAAGTCTTGGCAGATATAAAGGTGCTTGCGCCAAATCTGCCAACGTGTTTTTTTCCGAAAGATGCGGAAATGCGACCTAAGGACAGGTTGTTGGTGTTATTCTCAACAAGATGAAACCATAGTAAGTGTGTATTAGTAGTAGTGTAGAGCCTTGAGTTATAAATGACCAGTCATCTTGCTCCACTGAGGTCATGATGACGATGTCGATCAGCAACTCCGTCGCCTGTGAAACTTCTCTTCAATCTAAGTTAGAAGAAACTGTTCTGAAACTCTGCCTCGCAAGAATGTAAAATGATGAATCCTAGGGAGACGGAGGTTCTGCAACCATGTTAGTCTGCGTTTGGTAGTCTCATCCTAGGATCGTTTGAGGATATTTGTTCATATGGCCGCAAGTCTTACGACTCCTCGGCAATTCGATTCCTGTCATATTCAAATTAACCATGTTGCCTAATCACGTCTTCTGATTCGGCTCTCCTGGATGTGAGGCCTGATGTCAATTTTAACATAAGGTAGTAGGACGTCGAGCAAGTAGCTTACGATCACCGTCACATCCAAAACTTTTGCTCAAACAAAACCATGACACACTCAGTCATTTAATTCTCTGCTGACCTACATGCTTTTAATAATATAAGTAGGATAGGCATAGAAAGATGGATGACTAGTTTTGTAGATAGTGAAGTCGGGCTGCTGAAAGCTTCTAGGTTAACACTTCGCCGCAACCATTGGAGAGGCTTAGTGGGCGAAGATTTCTTGTACGCTGACGCTTCTTAGCTTGAACAGTGTTTGACATGCTAGACGCGCTGTAAAGTGTTCATCTGAGGTGCAGAATTTCACCCGTTGCTGTCTGAAAAGGAATGTGAGAAGCCTCATAAGAACATAAGAAAGCCTTTCACTCTTGGGGTTACCGCTGAATAGAAAGTTTGGTGTCAATGCCAGTGCTGAGCGTGGATCTTTATAAGCCATGCTATTTCCGCAAAGTACCTTGCTCAATCATCTTCATGCTCACATCAAACACCCGTTCCCCTTTCCATTCATAGCCAATATCTTGCCCACACGTCATGCTCGTCCTTAGTACCCCGGAAGGCAAACTCAATCTCCGTGATATCCTGAAACCCTTCCTTCTGTTTGGGCTCCTTGAATCTCGACTTGAAGCCGTTGAAGGCCATCTTCGGCAAGGCCACCCTGGATTCGGGATTGAGCTATATTGAATAAGCATTCGTGCTATGACGTTGGAGCAAGATAGACCTACTGATGCATTCATAGACCGCACGGCGTCATTGTGCTCGCAGACGTTCAATGGCGTCTTCAGCCACACACATCGAATGGGAACCTGTTGTTTCTCGGCAAGCTGAACCCACACAGCTCTTGTATCAGGATCGGCGTTCGTATTGTCTGAGGACCGTCAATAAAGACTCTTGAGTGCGGAGAACATGGGTATTTACCTATTGCGACAGACTGGCCGGCGCTCAAGAACTCCTTGGCCGCTTGAACACACTTGTCACGTCTGATGACAATGTTAACTTCAGTCTTTCATACGGTTTCTCAGGGTTCAACGTACGTTTTGAGAATGTCTTGATTGATCCGTTCATAACCCAACGGCTTCAGGTGATTCCAGAAAAATGTGCTCTTGCCGGCGCCCGGTGGCCCACAGCAGATAACAATGTCCTGCTTGTTCTTCTTCTCGAATAGGACGTCTGATGCGCCGGTCTTTGATTCTTCTGGGTAGGAGTAGTGTATCACGTCGAACTCCCGAACAAAATCGCGGGGTTCCTCGTCAAGAAAGAATTCTTCTGGAGTCTTGTAGTCGATGCCGATGTTGTGGGCTAGATTTCGATCGGAACAGCTGAAGTCTTTCGCAGTGGCTGCGCCGTTCTTACCGGCGGACTTCACCGTCGCTATCCGACCACCAGCATCGCCAACGAACACGCTATGCTCGAGGTCGACTTCGTCGCTGATATCGTAGTCTTCGCAAAGTTCTTTCCACATGCCCGGCCGAGGTTTCCTGTAGATGTCCTTCTCCGTCGCTGCGTATATCGTGGTGGGTATATCGAGTTGTGTGAGGACAGCGTTGACCTTCTGCTTGAACGAAGATACTCGGTCTTTTGTTGACTTGGGGCCCTTGGCTTTCGGATCTGGGTGCAGTACAAGCCCTGCTTGGTTGGACAGGACTACGACTCGGTATCTGGCCATGTTAGCTGGTTTTTCTAGATGTGTTGCATACGATCATTACCCCTCATCGTTATACAGCTCCCTCAGCCGTCCGGGAACGGAAGCATGCCACCACTTCCAGTCTGTTCCGTCGTCTGAATGCTTCTTGCCAGAAGCTGTGGTGATCAATGTAGAGTCCTGGTCGAAGTGCGTCAACACCACACTTCCTCAGCAGTCACGTCGTGTCAGATCTGCCATACCAGATCGAATGCGGCAACTTTCGTTCTCTTCTTCGATTCGGCAGGGGGGTTCTCAGGTTCGTAGCGACCAACCAAAAGGGTCGCTGGGGTGTCTTCGTTCGGGGCTCGTTCTGTCCATATCGTGCGGTCTTTCGGCTTCTGGGAGGCGGGTTTGAAGAAATTTGCGACTGCGCTCTCTTGGAGATGGTCAGTCGGATTCGGCACAATCATACGTATGTGCAAAGCTACTTACTGGTTGTCCCGCTCTGGACCTTGCGCTTGACTGGTGGAGGAGAGATCGAGTCTCTCTGTTTCCGCTTCGCCGCCGACGAATTCGAAGACGACATCTTCAGAGTTGTGTGAAGTAGTCTACTTCCATTTGAGGCAGAGATTGGTCGGTTGGGGAGGAGAATTAGCGACAAGCGCATATCGAGGTAAGGAACCCAGAAGGCGCTCCGGGGAAGCTGTGACCTTTGGTGGGGCAGTGACGGCAGGTGCACAGAACGCGCCGGGAGCGCGTCTTTGGAAAGAGCAAGCACGGACCAGTCAATTCCAATTCCACGTGACCTTCAATTGAGCAGCGACCAGATTCCCCGCGATTTTACCGACGCCCAACTCACTTCACCGAGCTTCACCACTGCGGCCTCTTCGTGCCCAGCCCAGCCATCTCACTCCAGCGTCTCAGTACTCAATTGCAGCCATGTACGAGCTCTTTTTGACGACGCTCGTCGACGATGACGACATCCAGGCGGCGTGCGCAGTGCTAGGTGGCCTCTGCGCCATGCCAGCGTGGCAGAGTCTCCATCGCGTTCTCTACTTCAAGGGCCCTGCTAAGCCCGGCGGCATCTCGAACCAGAACTCGATCATCAAGACTCCTAGAAAGGACATCCAGATGCTGTGGAAGGATCTTCACCAACAACTCAGCCGTCAGTCGTACATCCTTCAAGCCCGCTACGAGGTCTTCAAGGATAAGGACTTCGGTCCGACTGCCCCGGAAGTTGACTTCAACACTCGCCCCGGCACCCTGCGGTGGACAGACTTTCCCGATCCGCCTCAGGGAGGCCGTTCGACGGTTACGCAGCGCAAGAAGACGGAGATCTGGGACCAGCGAAATCTGCCGGCTGTGATGAAGGACAACAACTACTTGTGCGTACGTTGCGACTAGGTGTGTGGGCTACTCACTCACATTGCACAGGTTCAAGAGCGAGGCTATCGAGGAGACGTATCAATTCTTCAGAGATGAGGTTGAGTTCTGCCTTTCACGGCATTACATTCTTCAAATGAACGGAGGGGGTGCGCCCCTCACTCACCTCGCGCCGTGGGAGAATCTTTCACCGGCTGATCCTGGACGCCGCTGGATGTTCCTCATCAAGGTCCACGTTCACCAGGACAACAAGCCCGATGAGATTCTGAAAGCACACGAACACCTGGCCACTATTAGACGCGAACTCGAAGGCGTCTTTGACTTCAAGCAGTTCGACAGACGCATTCACGACACCAGGGTTGCTGTCGAGATGCGCAACGCTCCCGCGCCTCTGCCGCAAGTCATGACTGTTACCGACCAGCGGTGAGACCGAATCTGGGAACAACTCAATGAGGGAGAAAAGTAAAGAGCAGAACACGCACGTGGAATGGAAATGGTGAACCTTTCTGGTTACCGGTGGTAATGTTCTGCCGATTCTCTACCAGGGTTTCCTCGCGAATACATTCACCTTCACTTTCCCGTGGAAGCCACGACAGTACTCTGACGGAAACATGCAACAAACAAGGGAGACAAATTTCTTCCCAATTGTCAAAGGGACAGCGGCCCTGAAACCCACCGACGACCAAGATTTCACACGTGCCGCCACACATGCTTGAAGCTGCATGTGGATGCGTTGGCTACGAATCCACCGGCATCGCAAATTACAACATTGAAGCCAAGCTTCTCGGTTCAGATTCTCCGTTGACATGGACAAGGGGGAAAATCGGAAACTATTGGCAATACAAAGGCGAAGCGCAATAAACAATTCTCGCATGAAGCAAGAATTTCACGAAGATAGCGGATAGTGGGCGAAGATGCCTTTATCAACAATACAGGGAGATGATGCTGGAGGTGGAAGAGCCCACTGGTTCCAGAAGTTTTCTCAGGCCAAGTGGGTCAATGTGTCTCACCCAGAATGGCTTAGAATGAGGAGCTAAACTCACCTATCCTACTTCAAGCTTATTTTTTGCGTCCTGTGGCGTGCCATGGTTCTTTCGGATTTTCGTGCCGACACTCCCAACTATGAGTGTGATTTTCATAATAAACCAAGACACTGGTTGGCGGTTGGGAGAGATATCTTGCCATTCATCGACGGATGCAACCAAGGATAAGACCGGGTAATAAGATGCAGGGGCTCTCGCCTACCCGGAGGATCGCTTTCAGTCGATCCCCCGACAGCGGCTGGTCGTCCAATCTCCGTGCCATGATCGCCGTCGCCTGGGCTCGCGAGTCGCTGGTCGCGAAAAAACTCGGCTCGACCTGCGATTCAGTGACAATTGACTGCAACATTCAGTTGCAAGTGCGAATGACGTATGGATAATAACGTCCCGCGCTTGCATAGAAACAATAATTGGTCTTATTTCTTTTTCGCTGCGGCATCAAGCCGCCCTGACTCTTGGTGTTCACACATCCCTTAGTAATGCTGCATCCTTCATCCATGCCGAGCCAAAGTTCGAGTTTCAAGCTGATTAAACCCAGGCAGCGGTCAGTCGTGCACAAGCCCTTGTCCCGCTGTGCCTTTTGAGTCTCGTCTTTTTGCTTCGTGGCAACCGTGGATAAGCAGAAAAAAAAAATTAGTCGCCCAAGATCTCTAGGCCCGTTTCACTCGGAAATGATGCTGTCCACTCTCCACATATCTCAACTGAATGAGCCGAGGACGCAGACATTCCTCCCTCGACGAACATCATGGGCTCGTGAAGTTCGGACGACAAGCGAGCAAGAAGAGTAGGCCAATGCGTTTTCGACGGCTGAATTCAGACGGTTTACCGCTCAATCGAGGAGGGAAAGCCACAACGGAGAAGCGCGAGAGCAAGCATATTGAGTCAAGAGCGGCTGTGGTGAGAACCTCAATGGGGCCTTTCCGACTCCTTTACTCGTAACGCACGTGTACCGTGGTGGCTCCCGCTCGTGGGCGGTTCCATCCCAGCAGGCAAGGCCCCTCGCGGGCCACTTTGGTTGACACAATCCATCGACCAGCATCCCTGTCGGGGAGGATGATCAATGAGCGGCTCTGGGCCAATCGGAATCATTCAAGCTCAGTATTGACAGCAAAAACCGTCCAGGGTGTGGAGACCTTGGCGAACCTCGCAAAGCTCGGGCGGGAAGATCTGGAGATTCTAAGGTTTGCACTTCACAACGACGGGGCCAAGGCAAATAGATTGCTCAACAGCGGACGATCCGAACCACCGCAGAAACCATCGCAAAATTCGCGGATAGCTCCCGAACTCTCTTTGAAAACGTCCACAGCACCACTAACACGCGTTGCTGACCTTATCTATCAGACTCAGTAGCGCCAGGGGCAAGATGCTGTTTGTGTTTCAGGTTCGGACGAGCAACCCGTGAGCTGGAGGGGCCGCAGACTGGGGTCGCCGTTGGTGGTTGGCTCGGTTGAGCGCAAGCAGGTGGCCCGTCAAGGGGTTAAATTAAGCTTGGGGTCTTTTGGGGTCGAGTTGGGACGGCTTGCTTCCCAAAGAAGGGCCAACCATAGGGATGCGAGAAAAAAACCGCAGGGCCGTAGCATGGCCCTTCGACCAAACCGAACTGAGCACATCACCCGCCTGCCAAGCTGCAAGGCACGTATCCCGCAATTTAGACACAACAACGGCTTCCCCACAACGTTAACCCCTTTCAAGATTATTGCTCCAATCGCGGTTCTCGCCGCGAGCCAGACTGCGGCCAGGTTGTTCGGAGGCGGTAGCGGTTCTCTCGAGAGTCTCGCGAGCCATCCTTGCCTGTGCTCACCAGAGATTAACGCCCATGGCGAGATCCTGGATCGTGACTGGGTAACATCGCACCGATGAGGCGGCATCGTGGGTACTGGGACGGGATCACGCCTGCCCCTTTCCATAGTTTAGGCTTGGCAGGTCTGAACTGGCATGACCTATCCGAAGGTGGGGTGACGGACGAGGGAGGAGAAGAGAAACGGCGTGTAAGAGGCACACATATATGAGTAGAGTTCTGTCTCACCACCAGGAACTCCATCTCGCTCTCTTCTCCAACAGAACAGTCACTCATCTGTCCACTCATTACTTTCAGTCATTCTCTACAGCTCGACGCCGGCGTCACTTCACTCATTTTCACCTTTGTGTGCACATCGCTTCTAACGCCCGGAATCACCGTCCTTCTTTTTACCAAAACCTCAACCAACCGTCAAGATGAAGACCATCGCTGCTCTCGCCCTCACCGCCTCCATGGCCAACATGGTTGCCGGCCACGCCATCTTCCAGCAACTCTGGGTCAACGGCGAGGACAAGGAGTCCACCTGCGTCCGCATGCCCGCCTCCAACTCCCCCGTGACCGACGTCACCTCCAACGACATGCGCTGCAACGCCGGCTCCGCCGCCGCCTCCACCACCTGCGGCGTCAAGGCCGGTGACACCATCACCGTCGAGATGCACCAGCACAACACCCGTGCCTGCTCCGAGGAGGCCATCGGCGGTGCCCACCACGGCCCCGTCATGATCTACCTCTCCTCCGTTGAGGACGCCGCTGCCGCCGACGGCTCCAGCTCCTTCTTCAAGGTCTTCGAGTCCGGCTACTTCGCCAACAACAACACCTGGGGTAACGACCTGATCAACGAGGGCTGCGGCAAGCAGAACTTCGTCATCCCCTCCGACATTGCCCCCGGTGACTACCTCCTCCGTGCCGAGACCGTCGCTCTCCACGCCGCTGGCTCTGAGGGTGGTGCTCAGTACTACATGTCCTGCTACCAGATCAAGGTCGAGGGTACCGGTTCTGCTAAGCCCGAGGGTGTCTCCTTCCCTGGTGCCTACAAGGCCACCGACCCCGGTCTGTTGATCAACATCTACAACACCATCTCCAACTAGTAAGTTCATGAAATGTCAACGTCGACTTGGAATGGAAACTAACACTATCTCCAGCGTCATCCCCGGCCCTGCTGTCTACGGCTCTGGCTCTTCCGGCTCCGGCTCCGGCTCTGCCCCCGCTTCTTCCGCCGCCGCCTCTGCCCCCGCCGCCACCAGCGCCGCTGCCTCTTCCGCTCCTGCCGCTGCTGCCCCCTCCAGCGCTGCTCCCACCACCCTCGTCACCTCCGCTGCCGCCGCTCCCTCCGCTGCTGCTCCTTCTACCACCTCTGCCGCTGCTGCCACCCCCACTGCCCCCAGCACCGGCTGCAAGCGCCGCCGTGCTGCCCGCAAGGCCCGCCGCGCCGCCCAGTACTAAGCAGCGTCGACTTCGGTCCGCTGTTGAGAGGAGAGAAGATATAGGACGTGTATCGTTCAGGTACATATTAGAAGTTCTTTGTACATAATATTCTCGCGTACTTCTGCGATTTACGCCCCATTGAGTGGCACAAACAAGACTATTTACCTTGTTCAAACAAACTTTGTCCCGTCTGCACCGTGATTTAATGTTGAACTTCATCGTTAGCTCCATTTGCATCCACGCGACTTGGTTTGCTCTCCTATAGACTGTAGTTGTAACTGCCAACTCTGTTAAGATCTTGTCTTGACTGTAATCCCAGGCGAACATGTCAATGGGTGAACCTAGCGGGCGGATCGTTTACGAATACATTGGCCTCCTTTTGCCTTTCAGCGTTTCAAGGGTATGTCGAGCGAGAAGGCGTAGCCGAATGGGAAAAGCCATTTAAGAACGTCAAATAGACATGGGAAGGTAACGTGCTTATATCCTTATATTCTGGTATGGCTTATATACAAGTGCAGAGAAATGCTAATGAACTCCATGCAGGCCGGCCCGTGCTCGCTCAAATTCAATCATACACGTCCAACTCGTTGAACCCAATCCGATCCCCTAATCTCGCGAGAGAAAGATAACTTAAGAATTGAAAGTAAATGTCGAGAGGAAGAATGATCTCGGCGAATCGCCTTATGTGCTGTAAACAGCAACATACTTGACTTCCATCATGGACTTCTCGCCGCCGACAGTCTGCGCATTGGGTGTCTTGGTACCAGCCTTGGCATCGGGGAACTCGCCACCGATGGCAACATTGAGCAGAATCATTTTGGGTGTGCGAGCCAGGTTATTCCAGTACGTGGCATCGCCGATCTGCTGGCCGGTGACCGTCTGGGTCGGCTTGTCGTTGACGTACCAGACCAGCTTCTCCTGCTGGAAGTTGCCGCCCGCGGATCGATCCACCTCGCAAGCAACCTTCACGAACTGTCCACGGGGGAACTCGGCGCTGGAGCTGATACCAGTCTTCTCGTTACACGGGCCGCCGTCGATGACACCGCAGTGGGCGGTCTGGAACACGGTACCTACGCCGTTGGACACCTCGAGCATGTCGATCTCGCCAACACTGGGCCAGGAGGTGACGTTCTCGCGGAAGGAGGATCCCATGGACCAGAAGGCGGGCCAGATGCCGGCTTGCGTCGCGGGGTCAGAGGCTGGGACCTTGATGCTCGCCTCCATGCGCAGCTTGCCGCCCTCGGGGCACTTGAAGTCCTGCGCGGCAGTGGTCTCGATACGGGACGACGTCCAGGACTCGCCGCTCTTGATAGGCGTGATGGCCAGCGTGCCGCTGGAGGTGATGCCGATGTTCTTGGGGTCCTTGGTGTACGTCTGGATCTCCTGCGTGCCCCAGTTCGCAGCGCCGCCGGGGTAACTCGTGCCGAGGTCGAACTTCCACTTTGCTGAATCGGGTAGGGCGCCGGCCTTCTGTGTCGAGAAGTCGTCTTGGAAGACAATCTTCTTGTAGCCGGCGGGGAGGGTGGGGCCGCCGCCGGTGCTGTTGCCCTTGCCTGGGGTGCCGCTCGCTGCAGGCTGGAGAGGGTTGGAGGCGGGATCGGGAGTAACGGGATCGGGAGTACTTGTGGGCAGCGACGGGACGGCACCGGAGGGTCGGAAGCCGGAGCCCGGCTTGAGGCCTTCGGGGCCGTGGTGGTTACCCCTGACTGGGAAGGGGGCTGGGTTCGCCAGGCCGTAGCTGGCAAGAAGAGCAATAACTGACAAAACCTGTTTTGTCGACATGTTGGCCAGCTTCATCAAGAAGAAAGGGGAGGAAGAAGCAAAGAAGGGAAAGCGAAGGTAGTGAATGCGCTTGCGCTTGGTGAACTTAGGAGAATAAGATGGGTGGATGATCCAGACCTCTCTAGTCTAACGGGATTTTCAAAGGCTTTATAATCTATGTCATTGTAAATCTGATGGAATCATATATCACGACCACTATTGCCCATTTCCCCTCGGTTAGATGGTTCGTCTAGTTCGATCTCTACCTCTATTCTAAGTCTAAGTGAGTGAACCCTACCGGTGGGATCTGTGGACCAACAACATGGAAGCCCGCTATTTTCAGCATCCAATTGCACCACTGTCATGAGGGTTCTCCTATCTTAGTCGTCACTGTTAAGCTTAGTCGCTTACCAAGTAGATGGCTTATTCAAGGCTGCCATCCCATAAAAAGCTGCCGAAGCTGATGGCCGAGTGGGTCCCCGGGGTCGCATCTTTGACGTGAACCATTCCGACATTCCGGCCTGTCGGCCGGGAATCAACCAAGAGGGCTGAGTTCCTGAGCAACCCCTGATTTTTTGGCCCGCGAAACTGGGTCTGAATGCTATGTAGACCTCGTTCTCGCGTGTCTGCGTATCGGCTAAGGGGTTGTTTATGATTACTGACTCGGCAATATCGCTGCTCTCCCGCTGTCGTTCATGCGCAAGCCACCAGACCCCGGATCGGCCAGCGATATGGAACTTATCAGACGGCGTTAAGGCGACTTCCGCCCCACAATCACTGTTAACCCCAGACAACCATATCTATTTCTAACCCACGGTCTCCCCAGACGGTTTGAATTTACCTCTCACAGGCACCACAGACCGCAAGACCCCAAAAATGGGTTGTTTCTGGGCTAATTTCTGGCCTCGTGCCTGGAATTCACTTGGCATCCCGCGCGCCAAGTTGACGTGCGCCGGGATGGGATCGGACGCAGAGGCCGACTTCTTTTGCAGTGCAGCCAGCTTTCGAGCACGCGGCGGGTGGTTCACTGTCGGTCGTTTTGCCTGTTTCTTCAAAATCTCCGTGAGAGTTATTGCCAGGGATGGGAGCTTCGGTTGGCGATTTTCGCAGGGTCTCGACTCGCCATGTGCTGCTGACGTACAATCTATTCAAGACTACAGCTCGGCTTGACCTCATGCGACCAAGCTATTTGACAGCTGTTTTGCTCGCGGCTGTTATTCTGTATTTATCTCTTTGGTTTCCCCTCACTTCAACTCAGATTTGATGTCAGGTTCTTGGCAAATTCGGCAGTCGAATCGTTTCATTTCTATTTTAGCTCTCGGAGCCCAGTCGAAGTGTTCCTTCCAGTCACACGCCCGCGAGAGTCAGAGGCAATGTTGTCAACAAAGTTTCCCCTATTTTGCACTGTCTTTTGCGAGCTTTTCTGTGATAGAAGCAATCCAGAAATGGTGCATCGCCATATCGCTCTTACTAAGCTAGAGTATGTATCACTGGGTGGGCGCAGGTAAGTTTCTCTGTGAGCCATCCTGGCCCTCGAATATTTCCCCGTGAGAGCACAGTCATGCGGCAGTTAAAAAGGTGCGCCTCCAGGCGACAAATTGCGAAGGAAAAGTCAGAAGGGAAGAAAGGGGACTTGCATTCTATTATGAAAGGCAGTCATGAAACTGTTAAAACTTCAAGCTTGGCTGATATAAGTAGCGGCGATAGATAGTGTCGACGTAGTATAGTAACGACATCTTGATATTAAAGGAGTAATAGGTTATGGTAGTGTGAAGAGGGAGATACCTACTCCCTGTAAGGCGATTTACGCTCTCTTCATATACCCCTATGGGTAGCTATGGAGGTTTCTCTATGAACTATCCTAGCCCTCGCATATTTCCCCGTAAGAGCTATACAGTAGTTAACAAGGTGCGCCTCTAGGTGGTAAACTACGAAGAAGAAAACTTAGAAGGGAAGAAAGATCACGTTGTATTTTCCTCCGTCGATGAGGAATCAACTTCGCATCGCAAAATATTCGGGGTATTGCTTATAAACATGTTACGGTTATTGATTACTTTGATAACGTCAGGGATACATGAGAGGGGGATGTGAACGCCATGTGCAGTTCACAAACTCTACATTTTCACAGACGGTCCTGCTGACAGTGCCAACTAAGATGCTGAGTCTGTGTTTTACTGCTTTCACAGTTCACCTATGTTATACATGATCTAACATCACATCGCATGAGCAAATCTATGAAGGACTACGTGTTTATATTTCACACTTTAAACTAAGGTATTCCATAGCACAGTTTCTAGACTGAAATGATTGTCAAAAAGAAATCAGTGAAGTCTTTGATTATTGAGAAGCTGGTACCGCCCACGCCTACTGCTTCTGTTTTCTCCTTGACCGTAAGCGTCGCTAATGAGCTCGTCTGAACTCCAGTGTCCAATTTCCTCTGCAAGGACCAAAGAGATCTCGGCCTATGTCTCTCTCCAAGGTCGCTTCTGAGGCTTTCTGAAGGAAGAGGACTGTTGCTCCCACTGACCACCGATCCCCATTATTTCCCAGTAGACAGCAAGGTATCTGCAAGTCACCAGCATCCAATAAAACTCTGGGTCATCTGGAATCTCTTCATGGCCACTGTTCTCGTCTTCTTCGTCTTCTTCATCTTCTTCATCTTCGTCATCTTCGTCATCTTCGTCATCATTGTTCTCGCTCTCATCTGCTTCCTCATTCGCATCATCGTCCTCGACTTCGGCGCTACTGGGAACTTGTGGCTGTTCGGCGTTAATTGCTTTGATGAAAACAAGTCGGTGTGCTTTCCACTCATAACCAGTCTTATCGAGTTCCTCATCATAAGCTAGCAAAGAATTGAGGCACTCAGAGTCCACGTATAGAGGATAACTGAAACGGATGGGATCTCGGTGATCTTCCGGGGGTACCTCTTGCTGTGAGTCGCCGCCAGGAGAGAGACTCGACACCCATGTCATGAATCTTCGTCGAACGTGTTCAGTAGAGGCGTTTGCCAACGTTGGTTCCTCGATGACGGTAAGGCGAAAATGTCGTTTCAAGCGCTCTCTGTCGAACTCTGATTCAAACTTGAGCTTATTGTCGATGCATTGGTGTATGTAGTTGAGGTATCGCTCCCAAAGTTCCTGATCGTCGTACGTAGTCCGGTAGACATAAAAGCCCCAGAAATAAGACTCAGATTCCTGCATCCAGAGTTGGTATTTTGCTTCTCTAAGAGAGGAGCCATAGGGAGGATATGGATTCTCGGACGACATTGTGTACGTCGGAGTTGTGAAAATTAGGTGCCGGGAGAATAGGTTACAGTCGAGTTGAAACAAACTGAGATGTTTTGAAGAAATGGAACAGGAATGAAAACTTTATAAGCAGCAGAATTGTGCCGTAAATGTTCATGGGATGCTTATGGAAAATGACGTATGTACACGCCACAAAGCCACTTTGTGGCCGCAGTACCTCTAGGGTTTGTGGCAAAGTCTAAACAGATTTGAAATTCATGAACGCATGTTGCCCCGCGAGACAGTTTTACTGGAGCACCCAGGATGACAGGCTAGTACAAGAGGTACTGAAAAGCCCCAAATAGAGAGGCTGAAATGAAAAGAATGTGGCTCCTCAGTGTGCAATTTCAACATAGAACAGCCGCTTGGGTGTCTCAGGGAGCATGAACTCTGTCATTTTTACTGCAGCTCTTTCGAAGACTATTGATGAACCCTGCCAGGCTTTGGTCAACGTAGTAAAACTGAAACGTAATTTCTGTTACGGCCCGTTCTCTTTCATGGCGCGCGTGGCAAACCACATTGACACCAACCAAGCACCTTGTTAGTTGAGTGATTATCCGCATTTCAGGCCATAAAGTTGGCGTACTGGCAATATATCTACTTAGATAGACTACCGTTTCGGTAGCCTGTTGTAAGAAAAGACGATAAAAGGCTAGAAGTGAAGAAGCATAGGCTACCGTTTGAGCAGTCGACAGAACATTCATGGCCAAACATGAGCACTCATGTTGACCCAGACTTGGTTAACTACGGTTGCTGGAATTTGCATACAGCTGCTTCCCGTTCCAATGGCACCATGGAATGTAACAAGCTTTCCAGTCTGTAACAATAGGTTTCTAACGTTTTAATTAATGGATTCAAATGCTTTTGGCATAGGCGAGTGTGCCTAAGAAACGAGACGTAGTAGAGGTTTACTTTCACCTTGTTGAATCTCTTCTACATAAAAGAGCGATCTTTTCTGTAGATTGCGCTGTTTGAATCTTTCCTCCATTCACATTACTACCACGTTTCTCGTTGTCTTCATCACACGAAATGTGGCCACGCATAGTACTATCTCTTTCGACAATCAGCCTTTTGGCAGTTCGGACCGTGGTGGCAGATGGTCGCCATGATGGTCTGAACGTCAATCAACGCCTGGATTGCTTCAGAGAGTCACAGTGTTTGAAGTTGAAAGAATATACATGCAAGCCTGGCTATACAAATGTCGGATTTGATCGGAATACTTGCAGAGGGGTAAGTGATATGCTGTTTACTTTTGCACATTGCGTCTGCATGGGTGTAACGCCAAAAACTAACCGATCACCGACCGTGGAAAAAGTCTGACGAAGGCACACCGATATGTTGTAACATCCACACCGTGAAGCGCTTCGGTAAAGATGAACATGGAAAAGATCGCCGTTGTGAATGGAGAGGCGTTCCGGATAACTGCAGTGGTGCAGGTCGAGCCGGAGAGGTCGTTTTATTCAAGTCAGGCATTGGAGGTTGGCCATCTGAATCGAACGGAGGAGAAGAGACAAAGCAATGCCGCACTGGATACAAGTATTTCGCCTGTCCATTGCCGGAGTGGGGAGGTCTGTCGACTGGTTGTCGGTGGACAGACTGGTAAGTAGCTTTACTGACAACATTTCCCTTCCACATGAGAGTTCATTCGAAATAACAATTGAACACGACAGCAAAGGGACATGCGGAGAAGATGAAAACGAAGTTGCTTATGCCAACGACGTGGATTTCAAGTGCCCCCATCAAGTGGTAGCCAGAGGAGTCAAGTATTGCTGCAAAAAGGAAAAGCCGCCACTGTCAAATTGTCATTGGGTTGGTCAGGGTCATTGCGACGACATTACCTGTAATCCTGATGAGGTCACTGCGAAACGAAGCCTTGTGGGTGATGGCGTGAGCTGTCGTTGTAAGCGATGCTGTTTTTCGTCTCCTTCAAATTACAACTGACCACTTTTAGTTAATCGTGAAAAGAGCCTCTGTTGTACGCCAGAGATGAAGGCGCTCGAGTCTGATACCTGTGGCCTCAACGCATGCAGTTATGAAGACAAGATTTGCGATCTCGACCCCTACGTTGATTACGACGAGGACGCGGAACATAACCTTAAGTCACGCAATAATCGCCCTCCGTTCAATGTCCACGGTGTCAAAATCCAACCCAAGGGATATCCAGGATCATCTCAGCTCCATAAGACGAAAAATGGTGCCCAAGCTTTAGCGTCTGCTTTTAGGTAATCGGATAATCTGCCTGTCTAATTCTCACCTCTGTGATCTAACATTTACGCCTAGACTTTCAACCTCCAATTGCCTCCATTCTTCGATCGAAGTCGTGGATCCAAAAACCCTTACTGACACGGAAAAGTCAGCAAATTGGGCCACTGAGCACGCTATTGAGGTAGACCACTGAGGTGTTCAAAACAAAGTATTTTGCTAACATAGAACAGCTTCAATTCATGAAACAATTCGTCTCAACGGCAATTGATAATACCCTTGCTTCTGGTCGTAAATCGAACGCCGGAACGATCAGTAAAGCCCGGATGGAAGCCTACTTCATTAAAGATACGCTACCAAAGCCTGGTCTGAAAATAACACCGACAAGTAGGTCCGTTAGAAATCCATCCAAAGCCATGTTCGAGGCTATTGGATCTTATGCAAATCGTCGAAGTATGTTTCTGGTCTCGAGAAGCTTGAACGGCAGGAAGGGCAAGATGTTCGCGGGCGTTAATCCCATGGGCGATGACGTCATGGAAGACGCCTTGGCGGAGGCCACCACAACTGGAAAGAACGAGAAGGTGATTTTGCAACCTATTCGTGAGGTAAGCATTATGGTCTGAACTTTTTCAAAGTTTGAAAACGACTAACGTTTGAGCCAACAGGTAATCGCGACTTGGCGTTATCTTCATCATCGAGATGTGTTGCCACGAGTTCAAGAGGCTCGTAAGCTTTTGAATCTAACAGCCGTAGAAATTGCCACGTCCATTCCCCAACTGGGCGCACTGGACGAGATATTCACGGCAATGGAACAGGACTGGTGGGACAACATCGCTGCTAAGAATCTGAAGTGGGTGGGTGAAACAATCACACTCATCGAGCGGGAATTCAAGAAAAAGCTCGTCTCTCACAATCCAGGCAATTGGGGGGTCGTACAAAAAGCCTTAGGAGTCTATAAGGATGATATGAAGTATATAAAAACCCTCCCGCCTATTTGACCAGGCTGCGAATCTAGTTATAAATAAAAAGGTTAAGGAGTTTGGAGTTCCAAAAACGGAATCATTTCAGTCTTTTAGTAAGTTATCAGTAGCAAAATAGAATTATCCACAAATTGCTTTTCAGTCGTTGAGACGTTCACGTTGAAATAATACCACAGTAACGTAACCCTTACTGAGTTCCAGTCTGGATCACGTTTAACATTCTTTGAGACGTGTGGACCCAAGAAAACTTCATTTTATGTTTGAATTAAAATGCAGAGGGGGTAAAAAACCTTCATTTCTGCATTAAAATGCGGAGGAATAGGTAAGAAGACGTAAAGGCTGAATGAGGTGTTCCATAGCAGCGCATGCATGATCCCTACCCAGAGCAAGTAGATATCCAAATTAAAAGTCATAGGTACTTTTAGAGGAAGGAAAAGACGCAAAGCTCACATTGTTTCTATATCTTCACCTCGAGGACGTTGAGAGGGAGCTAATAGAGATACAGACGGATAAATGGAGTTAGATTCCGCCGCAGTACCAGATATAGGCCATGCTTCATCTACTGGCCCCAACTCCTAGGCAAGACACTATGCGCAAGACGCATGGATATAGAACAGGTTTTTTCTCAGCGTCAGACCTCACGACCAGCCGGTTTAATTCCAACCCACATCATCAATGTACTGCGTGACTATTCGTTGTGCAATGAAGTCCAAAGGCTTATATGCTTACGTTTCCCCTATTAATGTGTGATTGAAATTACTGTAGGCCGGAGGTATGTTTGTTCGCAAACTTTTACCATCCACGAATGTGCCTAACAATACGACAAGTTAGGTCAAACGGCATGTTGTCGCTGGAATCCATCAATCATCTCGTTCCAACCAGGGAAGACAAGCCTCATGCAACTTGTCCAGCCCATCGGACTCCTCAATTATTCTCTGGTAGTACTGAAGAGCGTACTTCTTGACAAATTCAAGAAAGCCCACCAAGATGAAGTCGGCATATGACGCTGTGATCTCATTAGACCTCAGTCGAAGACCAGAGGAGAGCGACTTACCCTGGCTGCCCTGGAAAAAAGGCCCCTCCGTCTTGTTGAGGAGGGCAGATACCTCTTGAAGGGGCAGCTTGACCTTCTCCCAGGCCTTCTGGCCGCCGTAGTCTTTCTCAAATTCGTAGATCGTCATGCCACCTAAGTCCTTCCTCCGAGTGTCCCAGAAGAAAGGCTTGCTGCGTTCGCCAAGTATCGTTCGGTAAACTTCTGGCATCAAGACGGGCTGCAGTGGGCCCCAAATCTTGCGCTGGAATTGAGAAGCAGCCTGCGCTAGATCATTTTCGGGATCTAGGGGGTTTTCAGGATACTTTTCTTCGAGACGTTTCGCAATTTTTGCGCTGTCCATGACATAGGTCCCATCGGGAAACTGCACCGTAGGGCAGGTATATGGTGTGTACTGTTCAGAATCTCCTTCAACCCCCGCAGCTTTCAATCGGGGCCCGATTTCGGGATACTCAAGCCACTCGGTCTTGTAATCAACGCCTTTGTAGTTGAGAGCCAGGCGAGCTGTTTGGCGTCAGCAAAGCGTCGTATTGGGCGCATGCTTTTCATACTTTTCCAAGTGTTAAATGACCAAGCTCTGCCATTCTTGTCAGGGATATCGAAAAGAACAAATTGTGAAGCCATTTTTAGATCGTTGGGTATTGTTTTGACTGAGATGGAGGGCTATGAAGATCACGGAGTGTTGTACGTAGCTGCAGGTGGGAGAAAAAGAAATTGAGGGGTTGCGGCCAACATTGTGGAATGAAGGGGGATTATGGGTGGAGACATAAATCAGGTCAAGTAAGCAGTCAGCACTAATGCATGCAATAACCCCTGTGATGGTACCTATTGATACAGAGGACTCAAATGTTCTTGTCGAGATGCGTCGGATGAAAAATGGTGGAAGCATAGAGTGTACGACGGCACCCGACATGTTTATATTTCTTTCGAGGCGATCGAGCCTCATTGCTGGTTGATGCATGGATACCTTCACTTGTAGGCTACCAGGCGCAGTTGAAAGCAACATTGTGTATGTAAACTTGTAAGAACGTACCCATCAAAGTTCTTTGATGATTGTCAACCTTGCCCTCAGTAAGACTGGGTTTCTAGGCGACTGCGCCTATTCAAAAGCGCGTGTGTTCCTGCGTGTATGGCCTCTTTTGTAATACTAGGTCATTTTCTGAGCCAAAAACCGTACATCAGACCGGCTGCTATCACAATTGATTCCCTCGTCTGCTTCCAACACAACGTTACCCGTAACGCCGTCATGATCGATGTTGAGAATAATCAACAGCATTTACTTGAGTGAGGTTGTCTAGATCCATTTCTCAGACGTGGAGACCTGCCATATACTTGCCGATGTATGATGATGTAAACGTATGCTTGTATAATCTCAACGATCCTCGACGTGACACAATGAGCTGCACGGACGTATTAAATTTGAAGCTGAGCCGTTCTGTCCGCGGTAATTGCATGTATTGACATGAAGAGCACACGGCCCAGTTTCTAGACATCAGAATTCCCTGTGCTTCCCTGATGGCCCCCAATGGTCAGTAGCACAAAAGATGTACCCGCGGGCAGTAAAGTGATATACGAAAATGTATTTGGATCTCTCATTCGTGAGTTTTAGCATTTCTTGATTACTTTCTATAGCCATCCACTCTGAAAGAACCAAGCTCTTCAATCTCAAGCAGCAGGAGATCTTGCTCTCCAATGTTGGTACGAAACTACCCTTGCTTCTTCTTCGGCTTAGCGCTAGCCGTCGGTTTGGGTGCACCCGTTTTGCTCCCGCCATTCGAGGATCCTTCAACCACAAACTTGGTGCAGTCGTCCTGTGCGCCGCGCTGAGCCACCGGCATAGCGACAGGCTGGTGGTTTTGGGCCGCGATCATGGTGCACACACGGTACGTGCCCGCTGGAAGGCCACCCTCGACCGCAGCTTGGAGAAGCCCTTTGCCGTTTCCCGCATCGTCAATACCTTTGAAGAATGCAAACTTGGACGGATCTGGCGGAGTCTGAGACGTGAGAGAGCCGATGTCTTGAATAGTGATATGGCAATGACCAATGATGTCTCCGTTGCCATCGAGATCCTGCGGCGCGGTATAGTAGTTGGTCGTCGGGTTGACAAAGTTACCAGCCTTAAGATGCGTCGTTTGCACAGAAACATTGAACGTTTGGCCAGCCTGAAGTTTGGTACCAGGCTGCGGATTCGTAATCATGGCCGAGATCATGTTTTTCTGGGCAGGGAGCTTGCCCATCGGGATACCATTGCAAGAGCCTGCCGTGATTTGCTTGCCGTTGGTGATTTGCTGGCCCTCGCAGAAGTTGATGAAATTGTCTTTATCTCTATCATGAAAAGTCAGTTCAGCGACGCATTATAGAAGTGAAGCTTTACTTACGTTGCTGACTTTGCCTGCCCTGCTTTGATTCCGTCTGTACCCTTTTCTTGGCCGGTCAAAGCACTTGCGCTTTGAATCAAGTTGGTCTTCAGACAGTTTTCGGATGCTGACTTCGACTGTCTTGCCACGACCATCCCAATGTCGCCGCTTGCTGAAGAACTGGGCAGAATAGCCGCATAGCCGACCGTAATGATCGCTAGTACAAGAAGAAACGAGTAATGCATGATGGCATGAATGAAAAAAAGAAGTGATTTCAAACTAAATGAGTGATTTCAAAAGGTTTAGAAGATCTATAACACGTGTGGACAGGCCAGCTATCAACGACAGAAATGAATGACTGAAGGATTAAATGAAAGACGAATGGAAACCTGGTTCCAATGCGAAGAGTCTGCAAAGAAGCTACAAGCGCATTTATATTTGTGAGCGGCGGCCTGACCAGATACGCCGCGGGATATTCTGGCCTCTACACATTCTGTAGGTCAGGAAACCCATCGTAATACACTAGTTTCAAGGTTGCTTTTTAGCGGAGCTGTCGTCTGAACAGCCCAAAGTCAATGAAGCTAAGCCTTCTCATCCAATCTATTGGGAACCAAAGCTTGGGCGCGGGTTGAGCTGGTTTCAGATTTTCACGTCTGTGGTCAGAGGCGCCCAGAAGCAGAAATCCCGTTAGCATAATCAGCAAGAAGGGGCAGGGGATGCTGGGCACGGATGACAGAGTAGATCCAGACACTCCTCCACCAGGGTTTCACATCGCCCGCCATCAGCAACGTGTTGGCTGTGTAATCACATTACCCCAAGAGGAATTTTTGATAGCGCCATCTTTGTGTGTCAGCATCCTCGAGAAGAATATCGGCATCAAAGCCCAGTGTATGACCACGCCTCTTAATTTGCTTGGGGGAGAGATTACCCCAGGATTGAAGGTTTGCGACAATCCTCCCCCTCACTTCCCGACGCTTGCATTCCTGTTGCACCGGACACCTCCATCAACAACGCCACAATCTTAGAACCGGCAGTTACCGTGAGCTACCCCAAAGGACCTTGTCACAGGAGAAAGAGTGAGCTCTACAGATCATTTGGGTATCCTCGTGATGCCGCCAAAATAAAATAATCGCAATTTTATCATCGAAGAGAAGGTGGGTTATGATAAGGATAGGAATGACAGGTGTGATTGCTGAACCTAAATACAACTACTGATGGTTGTCGGAATTATCAGGGCTTTTTATGTGGGCACGTTTGAGCCTTTTGGTTTGCTGCATCCCTCCAAGTCGTGCCGAAACCCTACGTAGGCTGCCTGAGTAAATATTCTGAGAAATTTGAGTCTAACTTTGAAGAGTTTCGGATTTTATGTTGCTACTGTCTTTGCCTTGACTCCTAAGCTTGCGACAGTCACGAACACCTTAAACACTCAGCAAGTACCCCTTAATGTTGCTTCTGCTTGATTCGGATCCGTCTGGCCATCTTGATTAAGTGTGAAAATGTTCTCTAAAAACGCACTACCGAACAGAGGTGATCGATCAGGTTACGTCCACAAGCCGGTTCACGAAAACCCCTGCAATAGCTATGTTTGAGGCCATTAGATCTTATGCAAATCAGCAATCACTGTTCCTGGTTTCAAGAAGCTTCAATGGGAGAAAAAGTGTCACAATGTGACCAAAAAGTTTCGTCAACCGCCTTCCAGGTTTCTGTTTATAAGCCTTTGGATCGTAGATATATCTGATTCAGCCGTTTCTGCACATAGGTAGGAACCAGTCATGTAAAAGATTCGCGACAACAGGGACATTGAGGATGTGCAAAAGTTTTATTGCAGTATTTGTCGGCATTTGTCCTTCCGTGATACCTTCCTCTCTTGATCGTAATGAACAGTGTCTCGATTCTTGCCCAATGATCAGTCGGAAACTCCATCCCATCAGCTGCTTCTCGTATTTGCGTGCTGGGCAGCCCGATATTTACCGCTGTCACCGTCTGCACCCGAATTCAGCTTGAGAAAAAGTGGTGGCGGCCCTTGCGACTCTAACCAAATTGGTGAGGCTGCAGTGTTTGAGGCATACAAGACCTACAGCTTGCAAGATACATTGCCTATCAGTAACAAATCAAGAGAGCGATCTGATCAGGCTGCGCCGAAAAATGCAGGGATTGACAGTTGATGTGCGTCAGGGACTCTCCTTAAGCCCAGAATACATACAGACGCGGCGGTGTACTGCCAAGTTTGGATTAAGATATTGATGAAAATCTGGATCTGATTGGAAGCCTCGTGTCGATGCCGATGTGCAGCTTTCAGTATGAGGTGACACAGCAGGAAATGGAAGGAAATTGTTTACCGCCGGTAGCTGTCCACTCGCGGGCGATCCTAGTCGAATGGAACCCGCTTTGATGGTAAGCCCTCTGGTTCCTCTAAAGGACCAAAAATTTCTTATCTACACTGCCATATGCTCCATTTTGACAGTTTGAAGGTAAAGACAGCCGCCACCTCACCTCGTCGTCGAAGTTGCCGTGATCTCCTTCTTGACAGCGACGCTAGTCGATACGACCCCCGAGATTTCAAAATACTCCCAAACGCATCCGTGGACCGTACTTATTTTGCGTCTACTTCATACATCTGACCACATCCAAAGGACTCGTGCCATGTCCTACACAGATATAGGCTTCTGTAATGGCGAATTCTGTAACCTCAGAGTCTAGCCCTGGGAGCCAGGCGTCAACCCAAAACGATCAATCTCAGCGCGATAGCGGGGTTATTGGTGAGCCAACCTTCCTGACAAGTATGCAAGAAGAAATAGTCATTCCCGACAGCGACGCAGACATTGCAAGAACCAATCGACTGGGACTCAAATGGGACGACCTGGAAGAAGCTGGACTACCGTCCTTCGGTCCTGAAGACATGGGTCTTGCTGCTCGCTTTCATCTTCAACTGCGCTGTCATCGCTGGGCTTGTCACGTTTCATTTCAAGCGCGTTATCAGCGTCAACACTGCCACTTACTACGGTTTGAATGCGTTGCTCATCATCGTCGGTACAGGAACAGTTATGCACCTTGAGTCATTGCTACATAATCTTTCTAGGATCACGCCCGTCATTCTTTGCGCGCATAAAAACGGTGCACTGGCAAGGGATACCATTCTTGGGAGCTACTTTCCAAGTCCTACGATTAGTAGTGCTTGGAAGAGCGCGCCCAGGAACTGGTTGCTGCTGCTCGCACACGTCGTCTACTGACCTAGTTACGCCGTGATCGGTCTAAAGTCAGCCATCCTCTACGAAGATTATACCGAACCAGGACTGTTTGTCAACCTCTGGGCGTATTACACATTGCTGGCATTCTACAGTATCATTCAAACTTATCTTCTGATATTAATCCTGTACTTTTGGAAAACACCAACGACAGGTCTGCGGTGGGACCCAGTTTCCATTGCCGATATCCTGAGTCTGTTCCGGCACTCCGATTTCCTGAATAAGTTCAAGGGATCTTCTATCGCAAAAAGACAATCGATGAACTCCGAGCTTGGAGACCTCCGCATTCGCCTCGGATACTGGAGGATGTCAGAGGGAACCCACTGGCACGGCTTCGCCTTGATCGGTATTTGAACTCTCCAATTGACCCATATGACTGATACTGGATAGTGAAGAAAGAAATGCTAATGACTGCGTAAGGAGAGTCTCGTTCGACGTCCAAACAGCCTAAGCAAAGACCCGCGAAAGATCAAGGAGAGCGTGTTTCCCAAGGCGAACTTGCCAGAATCCGATTTATCAGCGTGGGCGATCACAAGACTGTTCGTGATATACGGCCTCAGCCTGCTATAATTCCTTCTAATGACCCTGTTCATTCTGGGCATTACTTTGACCCGGCAGGATAGAGGATTGGGTAGCTTCTGCTTCGAGCCAGCACTCTCAACTACACAGGCTATAATCACATTCGACACTGTTTTGACAACCATCGTCGGATTTTTCGCGGATTTTTGGATCTCCATTGCACTTTTTGTAGCACACAGAGCCATTAGCTTGCATGAACACCCCGCAAATGACGACTTCGACATCCAACACGGCGAATGGCTCTGGGCAACGAAACTTCCTGGCAAATATTAAAAACAATCTAAAGGCGCAATCCGACAAGAATACTGCAAAGAACACGCTGCTTCTCAACTACACTTGCTCTACAGCTCCGAAAAGATTCTTTTCCGCCTGCCAAAACAAGCATTGGAAGGTTGCAAGAGTATCTGTCTGGGCCGCGCTGATCCGCCTCATGCCCACGCTAGTTGGCTCCAGCATTACAGTGTATCACTACATGACCGAACCGAATACCTGTCTTGTGTGCTTCACCAAAGAACTCTTCATCGTCAGCATCATTGGGTTTGCCATGTGTTCTGTTCTAATACTATACGAGGTGCTGAAAGATCTCCGTTCTCGCCGCATGCCTCGGGATTGGCTCACCATTGGAGACCTGGTGTCATGGGCATCCACGAGTGATCTGTTGGGTGTTCCCCGCACAATGTCATCGGGAAGTGACAACGACTCACCGTGGAAAGATCCACTCGATGTGGCCGTGGATGGCGAAAAGGGAAAGCAGTGGTACATGCAGGAGCGATTGAAACTGCAGTTGAAGAGATATTGCCTTGGATACAGCAAAGTTCCGGGAACGGGACATCACGCCTTTGGCATCAAAGGATACGACCCTTACAATGTCAACCATGAGAAAAAGCAGATTGAACAGCTGCCAGCTGTTAGGGTGTCGGGTCTGTTGCGGAGATTGACGCCGAGCAATTTGGATACTGAAAGTCGTTCTGCCCATGCCGCCCCCCTGACAATTGTGATGGGCAACATGTCGCACAAATTCATAAGAGTCGATGATTCGGAGTATACAAGATACAAGATCAACGACCAGAATATAGTAAATGCGCAGAATCAGGAGCTCAAGCCGGCTGACGAAGTGAGAACGGCACAAGGAGAAGGGGACGCATTCGAAGTGCAACAATTGCCGGAGTCAGAAGTTCATCAAGACCGATAGCGATTGCATCGTTATTAACTGACTTCTTCTTGGCTACAATCAAAGTCATTGATCCACGGTTCCAGCAACTCAAATGTCAACTTACACAACTTTGTTTCGCGATTGGCACTGCCAGTTGAAAATGATTTTGTGCTTCAGATTCTCAATTGGACGTGAATCTTACCAACTACTCGCCATTAATACGGAGGGATTGCCTTAGGAGAAATGTTTTGATGCGGTTTGCTGAGAAATTGGCGACGATCAGGCAAACAAAGATATACACAATGATTAATCAAAGGAGTCTTGCTAGTCGGGCAGTGTCCACACACACGTGTGTAATCCGTAGCCTGTTTCTAAAGCGACCAAATTTCCTATTCTCGCCTTTCGTCGTCTATTCTTATCATCATCGTCGTCGTCGTCGTCGTCGTCTTCTATCGCCGTTATCTTTAATATTACTTCCATCATTCTCTCTATGATTGCGGACAACAGGGGACACTGCTTAACTAGAAAATCTCAATCAAAGATGTCGCCAGAATTTCTACAAGACTGATGAAAGGGTAACCATTTTCAAGTCAGGAAGAGAGCGAGAAGACGAGGAGGTCACAAAACATTGGATGGTTGCGCAGTCTGATACAATTGTGAACAACGAAGGAGCACATCAAATTTGATTCATGTTCATCTTTTCCTTACTTTAATGGCCGCTGCAGCCGCTGACGCTGAATAAATGCGAGTGAATAGAGTTTCTAGCAGTTATTGTAAACGTCGTCTGAAGATACGAATCAAGCAGCCATGTTATACTTGTCGTTCGGATGAGACGAGATCACCCGGTGTCAGTCGAGATTGGACGATCTACAAGAGTGCGGCTACCAGAGTGAACTCTGCGACGATGTTTCGCAGTGCTGTAAAAGTAATGCACTAGTCATGGAAACAGAGTTAAGCTGAGGATTTAGAAGCAAACTTTCATGGGCCTCTGTTCCCCGCTTCGTCCGCCTCGTTTATTCAGTTCTCTTGAGTTGTTTATGAATCCGGGCTGGTCGCTTTCTTGCATAGAAAGGTCGCACCGTTGTTCATTCATTCTTGGATCACGGCCAGGTCATATGACTTGGAAAGAGGACGAAAGATGCGTGTCCTGCTGCTTCTGGTATTGAGCACTTTGGCTGCTTTAGGTTCCTCAGCGCCTGACATTTCCGGCCTAAACTGGCCAGCAAATCGAGCATTGCCGCTGTTCCCGGATGCTGCAAAAGAAATTGAATACGCCAAGCTCACGGCACTATCCGGCGAGGAGCAGATTCTCCTTGTTTCTCTGCAGGGGCTGGTGAACCGGCGCCAGCCACGCTTATACCTTTACTGGTCACCAGACTCCTCGAACTCCGACGATGAAGTCAACGAAGCTTGGCTACGTCAAATCGAAGGTCAAGGATTCAAAAGTGCCGACGTGACAAGTGACCCGTTTCGGCTGGTTGACAAGTACAGATCTGACATTCGCGGGGCCATCGTCTATGACACGAAACTATCAGACACGATCAATCTCGCCTCTACACTGGCTGGGCTCTATGGAGCCGTAATAGCAACCGAAGAGCTCACGCGCCGCCTCAACGTATCCATCATTGAGGATTTGAGGGGGCGCTTCAAGGATAAATACGAGTTGTACGAGTACGCAGCCCGGAGCGTGTGGCCCAAAGTCACGGATCGTCTCATCACAGCGATCAAACCCATCTCGACTGTGTTGTACGCAAACAGGACCTGGGAAACTCTTTTGAAGGCCAACTCTTCCGTTACGGATAGTTCTAATAACGGCACTTACACTGCCGACCTATCCCGGTTTATCAATCGCAGTAATTCTGTTTACGTCAATATTACGGATGCCTTCCCTGCCGATGGGTTTGGTCCTTCAGTCTACCGAGTCCAGGTTACAGCAGACAATCAGACCGTGGCCGACTTCCGACCTGGCGACGAGGCAGAGGATGCTTTCCTGTTTGACGATGGCGGCTCTCACTTGGCCGACTACCCCGGAGGCTGGCGTTTTGCAGACGGCTCAGCCGCGATGATTTATAAGTTCGACTACCCCAGACGGGCCACTCAGTTGACTCTCACCTTGTCGATGTGGAACCAGTACCTAGTCTCCGCATCAGCAGAGAAGCCGGGGTACCAAAAGGTCAACTCGATATTTCGCGACTACATTGTCGGCACCGCGGCCCCGTGCATCTGGCTGGATAGCAACAGGCCGCGGGAGGCGGCTTTGCTGGACAAGCTTCTGCGTCAGTTCCAGCCCAACGCAGCGTACCTCGGATGGTTCCCCAACGGCGACGAGATGACTGGCGTCACGCAACTGGCCAAGAATGGCATATACGTCGGTGCGGCGGACTTTTACTTCAACCCGACGTTGTTCAGCGGGTTCAGATCGAAGGACCAAGCGGAACAGTCTACGCCAAAAGAACAACCAGCAGATCAACCAACGGAGCCGTCGAAAGACCCATCAAAAGACCCTTCGAAAAATCCCTCGAAAGATCCATCGAAGAGTCCACCAAAACAGCCTCCATGGGGCATTCCGCCACAAAAACTCCCCAAAGTCTTCCTGTCCCTAATCTACCTCGAAGGCGACAACCTGCAATACGACCAACGAGCCATGTTCACCCACTGGAACGACCCGGAAAGGGGCTCCGTCCCTCTCGGCTGGACCATCAGCCCCCTCCTCCGCGACATCGGGCCCGGCATCCTCTCGTACTACCAAAGAACTGCCACCAAGAACGACTTGCTCATCGCCGGTCCCGACGGCGCAGGGTACACCTACCCGGGCGTCTGGCCGAAGAGGGCTCTGTCTGACTTCCTCGCTCAAAGCGGCGAATACGTAAGGGAGACGCGGACGGATAGCGTCTTGTTCGTGTACGACCGCATCAACGCTACCGACAACCCGTTGACTCCCGAGCTGACGCTCGCGTTTCAGAATGCTGTGGGGAAGCAACGGCTTCGGGGGATACTGTACGGGTCGTTTGTCTCTACATTGGAGGCGCTGCAGGTAAACGTCACCGAGGCGTTTCCGGTGACGAACATGGTGAGCATCGGGAACGAAGACAGCGGCGCTGCGACGTTGAAGAACATCTCGGATAGTTACAAGGGGCGCGGTCCTCTTTTTGTAGCCGGGGCTGTGAGTGCCTTTGATGTGACGCCGGCGAGTGTCAATAGCATGGTGAAGAAGCTGGGCGACGACTTTGCGGTTGTCAGACCGGATATGTGGTTTGATCTGCTGAGAAGGAGAGAAGGCCCCGGATGGCCCGGCCCGGGTTGGCCACGGCCTCCGTGATGAAAAGGATCAGTCAGCTACTTACACGCATCTCAGTACATTTCAACGGCTGGCTTTGCCTGATGAGAACTTGTGTGGAAGCCACTATGAACTTTGTGTGAGGTGACAAATTTTTAGAATCAGATGCATTGGGCACATCTGCTGCTGTGAATCAGGCCTGTCGTAGATACCTTACAAGGGTCTAATGCCCAGCGCAATCAGACGGACTGATCATCGAACCTCCTGAACAAAGTATCCAACTCCTTCATCCTCACCAAACCATCCTCAATCCCAGGCCAATTCTCTTCTCCAACACACTTCCCA